TATCATTCTTTCATAGGCAAGCCTCACCATCACTCACATTAAATTAGTTAGAAAGTGGAAAATGGAGGAAGCAGCACTAACCGATTTCCACTTGTGTCTCATTGGCAAGGAATTTGGCCACTTTTGGATAAATGTAAGATTGAGAGAGTAAGGACCTGAGTTTCCAGCTCCTATAGGACAGAACAGGCTTAGTGTGCCAGCTAATGCTGTCTACTGTGACCTTTGTTGAACCCTGCCATTTGTCCTTCAGGTCTCAGTCTCTCAGATTTTCATCTTTTTACTTCTCTGATGAATTCTGGAAAATTTATTAAGATCTATATTTCAATTCAGAATGTTTTCTTTAGTTTCGTCTAGTTGACTTTTTAAAAGTTTATTTCTGAGCTTTTACTTTTAGAGAGAGTTTTTCCATTTCTAGAAGTCCTGTTTGTCTATATTCTTTCCTTATCCTGTTTAAACTTTTTCTTTTCTTTTTAATTTCTGTGGAGAGGGAAATGCCATTTTCTCATTCTGATTTCTATGATGGCAGGGTTGAGGGTTGTTTTCCTCACAGTACACTCATGGCTCCTCTCCACTTCTGGGAATATATTTTTTTATTCCTAAATTTGACAGCACCGCCTGGGATGCTTAGCTTATCTCTGCTTTTTTCTTCTTAAGCACAATATTCCCTACCCCCACATCTCAGTGAGGTGTTCTCTGCCCAAGTCACATGCCCAGCACTACCTGTGACTAGTGGGTATTGTCTGCCTAATTCTGGGGCTCAGACAACTTGCTGCAGATATAAAGCACATCCTCCCTCTTAGCCAGATGCAGTGCTTTGTTGCAGATGGTATTTTAGCCTCCACCTGTCTCTTTGACTCCTTTCCTTTTCAGTACATGGAGAATACGTCAAATATCCCAATACTTACTTTATATTATTTATTGGATTATTTTACTATTATCTTCAATTCTTGAGAAACATTTTGTGTTGCTCACTCATTGGTAATTGAAGCTTTTCTCATGTTTTTATAGTTTTTCATTGAAATCTCATCCAAGCAGTTTTGTTTTCCACTAGATTCTGCGAGGTTTTGAAATGAAGTGTTCCCAAGTCCAGAATGATATGAGGTATGTTTTGGTCAGGTGTCTTGAGAGATAGTACTTTTCTGGAACCAATTTTTATAGTAATTTCATATCTCTGGGTCTTCCTCAGGATGTCACTAATAGAATTTGAATGCTAAACCTATGTAGAGCACACACTGGGCTTTGATTTTTCTGACTTATTTTCTCTCACTCAGAGATACTTGAGTCAAATTCCCTTGCTGTCTCTTGGAAGAAATGTTTACAAGATCACTTTCCATGGGGGCTGCAACTTTTTATGCAGGGGGTCTTGGAATCAAATAGGCCTGAAGTCTCTCTCCAGTTTTACACCAGCATAGAGGTTAATCCCTAAATTCCTAATGTTAAAATTGAGGACTCATTTCTGCCTTTTATCCTTTTAGAAACCAGATTACCAGAGGGTGAGGTGTTCTCTGTCTGGGATCCATTTTATCTAGGATGTTTGCGTTTATATTCTTAAACTGAAATTTTGAGTCAGCTTTCTTTTTAGAATATTTTGTCAGGTTTTCATATCAATTAAGCTTATATTTAATAAAATGAATTTGAAAACATTCCCAATACAGTAATGATCTGAGACAACCAGCCTATTACACAAATTAATATATAGGCCATGGGCTCGTCCTTCATCTAGGTGTAGAACCTATCCTCAAAGAGAAAGCCAAAGTCCTCATTTGGGGGCAGAAGGTGGGTAGTAAAAGGTACACCACATCTTACCATGTTAAATACTGAGTGGGGCAAAAGACTTACAGTTGTTCATATGGAAAATAATACAATAAATAATACATAAAGAACTCTGTTTTATGTACTCACAACTGTAAACCTACTTTTGCCTTACCCTGTACTCCACCCTATTTATGGTGGTGTGCTCCATATAATTTAGAGCAAGGGGATTATTTGATATCTAAAAGTAAGCAACAGCTTATCTAATAAAGTTAACTGGACCTGGACATTTCTTGGAGGTCATTAACTACTGTACTTGAATAATATTTCAATGGCTATCACTTACTTAAGTTTTCTATTTCTTCTCCAATTTCAACTCATATATCCTAAGAAAATCATGTTTATTTAGATTGCAAAATTTACCAATATTGTATATAACTATAGTGTATTTCCCTATAATTAATCAATCTTCTCCAAACCTGTTTTAGCTCCTTGTTGGTCTTATAGCTCTCATTTTATGCTTTCTGGTTTTTATGCTTCCTTGAGAATATTGACTTGTATTTTCCTATATAGATGGCATTCATTCTCCATTCTCAAATCTCATTTGAAGATCATTCAGCTTGGCTTAATTTATTCTATCAGTTACATGTCCTACTTTATAAAATTATATTGCTCTAAATTTTAATGGCAAAAATTATGAAGTTGTTGACTCCCTTCTACATAACATGCTTTACTTTCCCCCACCACTTCCAATTCTTAGTCATAATTTTTACATATTTTCTTTTGTCATAATTGTTTGGACATTTGCTTTGCTGTTTAACTATGTTCTCTATACTTGAGTTTTTAACTAGTATTTAACTGAACATTCTCTTTTCTCATTTTTTAAATGATTTCCCTCATTTTTTACCTTTATGACTTTTTTGATCAGCTAGAGTGGTCTTTGAGGTTTGAATATGTCATTTCTAGAGAAGGCACTATTTCTTTACATTCCAGGATCCAGTGCCCTGCTACTTGTCCATATGTATTCCTTTGTATTATTGTTAGAAATTGTAGTCATTGTCTGGAAAAAAATAAGTTGTTGGGGAACCACAGCTGTGGCCCCTTCAGAATGCAGTTTCTTCAGACTGCTATAGCTGTATGTATTCCAGTTGGCAAAGATTCCAAGATCAATTCATAGCAGGCAGGGATAGAAGTCTACCTTTTTCCTGCTACTCCTTAAAATCTCAGCCGTCATATGGTCTGGCACATGACACTCAAACTTTGTACTGAATGAATAAATTAGTATCATGTCAATTCTGTCTTGAACAAATCCAGCTTATACCCATGACTTTACATTCCATCATCACTGCTCTAACCAAAGCCGTTTTTTCTTCCTTTAATTCTTCTTTCACACTGCAAGTTATTGTTTTCCCTGAGATCTGATCATGGCCCACTGTTTCTTAAAAGTTGCCATTGAGTCTCTAATGCCACTTTTCATAGAACTTCTACTTTTCTTTTTTTTCTTTTTTTAAATATATCTTTATTGACTTCAGAGAGAGGAAAGGAGAGGGAGAGAGAGAAACATCAATGACGAGAGAGTCATTGATTGAGCCCACAACCGGGGCATGTGCCCTTACAGGGAATCGAACCCCGATCGCCTGGATCTCAGGTCGATGCTCAACTGCTGAGCCACGCCTGGCCGGGCAGAACTTCTACTTTTCTAGTTTCATCTTTTATAAACTGTCCACATGAACCTGGACTTTGAAAAGGCCCTCATACATTTCCAATCCCACTCATTCCCTGTACACATCTTTTGAAATCTCACACTAAGAACCCTTAAATGTAATTTCCTCTCTGACTTCCTGACTCCATAGCAAGAATTACTATCTCATGGTTCCCATAGTATTTTAAACATAATTCTTTTAGACATTTTAATACAATTATATTTTAGTTGTCCACCTCCATTTTAGACTAAGAATTCCTTACAGCAGATCAATTCTTTTTCATACCAAACTATTATAATAATGCTCAGTACTTATAGTAATAAGTACTTAATAGTACTTTAACAGGTTCACCAAAAAGCGTAAGTCCAATTTCCAACACTAGGCAATTTTAGTTGCAATGCAAGTTAACCCTTTGCGGTCGTATTAAATTTGGACATGGGTGTCGTACTGGTTGGAATTAAGAGCTTTCAGAGAAATTATGAACTGATACATGAATGAATAGAGTTAAGATTCATACGGTTCCTTGCTGTGGTGGCTGAGAGCAGACATACAACCGGAACAGTAAAAAAGCTTTGGTGGCTGAGAGTAGACAAACGACCACAAAGGGTTAAATATCTCTCTACATTAAATTGGAGCTCCAATGGCAGCCATTTCCCCTAGGAGATATGTTCTGAGTAACAGAACCTCTCCTAAGAGAAACACCCCATACGCATAATTTTGCATTGCATTTTTGAATGTTCATGGACCACAATAATAAAATTCTACCTACCCAACATTCTGGCTGGAAATTGAGTTTCCCTTCTCACAAAATAAGAGCTGGGACAGTAGAAAGAGGTCAGGCTGTGCAGTCATAAAATCACCAATGCTGGCTCCTATACTTAGCTTAAGCCCTAAGGCTCAATTTTCCCATTTAAAAAATGTGAATACATATCTACTTTGCTAGTTTGTTTGCTCTGTTACAAATTAATAAAGCACCTAGCACAATATGGACATAAAAATTTCTTTTTAATTACAGTATGTCATTCAACAGGCATGGAATTTCCCTGCCACTACTTCACAAGATTGAGATAATGCAGTTGTCACCTGCCACTTGCAAAACAAACAGGAGAAATAGGATTCGTAATTCAAATATTTGCAATATGGGGACTGTTTGTACTTAAAAGTAAAATCTGATTTATTTTTAAATGTTTTATATAATTATTTTTTAATTTGTTCAAATTAATATTTTACCATAAGTGTCCTAGGTATAGTGTGACTGTTGCTTTTTCACAAAGATGTATCAATAGATCCATGAGATTTAAGAGATCTGAGTTTATTTTTAAAAAGAAAAAAGGGTGGGGAGAAAAAAAATTTTATTCTATATTAATGTACTCTTTGTAAAAGCTCAGCCCTTCATACCCATAGACTGCACCTGACACACAGCAATCGGTAAGTTTCTTTTCATTAATAATGGCCATAACTTTAGAATTGAAAATTAATTATACACTATTACCTCCCAGCCTCAACCCATTATCAATTGATAAACCAATATAATAAAAAACAAGCTTCAGTTTTCTCCAGGTGTTTAATGCAAGATGCAGTGTAGCCATATTCCATGAAATGTGATTACCAGTAGGGAGCTTTGCAGCCCTATTGAAACAAAAGCATTGTGATACAGCTAAAAGCTTTACATAGATGTTCTTCTGTTTTTAATTACTGTAAATAAGTTTGTCTCCTGTGGTCTCTCTGCAAATCAACTCTACTGGTTTGAATTCTAAGTTATTATTTTTACTAAAGACCTTTCTCCCCACTCCAATTAAGATGGTAAGACCCAACCTTTGGTATAAATAACATATTTCAGTGTTCAGTGTCAGTTCTGTAGCCTTTTGGTAAGAGGGTGGCTAGAGGCTCTTTGCTCTCAGTAAGTGCTCTGGGCTGATGAATAAACACACTAAATTTAACACCCTGGTTGTTGGCAGCTCTCACAAAACCACTATTGGCAGTCATTGTGATGGCTTTTAGGGTATCTCCTGTCCCAAAAATCATTAATGAACGACTGTTGATTTTTGAACTGGCCACTAGTCCCAAGGCTCGCTCGGAAGGCTGGTCTGGCACCACATTAATTCGCTTAATTAGCATAGTGGCCCTCTCTCTCTCCCCAGGTCCTCCTAAAGTGTCTAGAATAGACTGAAAATCCTTGACAGCAGATTCACAAGCAAACAGCTCCTTGTCCTTCATAAATGCCTCAAGCTGGGGTAGAACCTGCTCTTTCCTCTCTTGTTCTGCTTGTTCTGTTAGCACTTTTTCTTTAAAGATAAAGTGGCAACCTCCATAGCTGAGGGCAGATACATATGTGATTAAAGTAGTAATGTCCAGATTTACTCTTTTGCACACATCAACCTTAATCTCTGTTGGAAATGCAACGCTTGCTAGTATATTTTTCCGGTCTACTCTGGTCACCTGGAAACGTTCAGGGCTCTCGTCATCTGATTCACTCTCACTGGGTTGGAGCTCTTCAGGGTAATCTAACAGAGAGTTAACTGCTACTATGTCTCCTCTCACAGATATGCCCATTTCTTTCAGCTTCTCTGCCATGGGGCTGGAGATACTGTTGTAAAATGCAAAGATGATATGAGGGTTGCTATACTGCACTGGCTGCTGGTGACTGGCCTGAAGAAAGTCTTTAGCTTGCTCAATGATGCTTTTGTCACCATACTGGCCCCTGCCCAGCCAAATATTATGCAGAGCTTCAGCCTTCCGGCCAATGGCTTTCACCCAAGTATGACCACCATTTGCAACAACGTCCACCACAAGGGTCTGCTTTTCTCCCACGGTATCTGTGTAACCAAAAACATGAAGAACACTAACAACTTCTTCCAGGTTTTCTGCTGATTCCACTATAGCTCTTAGGTGCGTTAAATTAGTGCTCTGTAAATGGGATTCCTTAATAGCTACTTTCCCAGCTTCTACTTTCTGTAAAAATTTTAATTCAGCCTTCAACTTGCTGCACAACTTTGCACCACCTTCAATGCCACCTTTTCTTGACCTAGAAAGCGATTCTGCTCTCTTGATCAGTTCCTTGGCTATGGCGATTCGTTCACAAAGCATGGTGTGTGCAGACATGCTGACAGCATTATTCCTTTCCTATGAAAAGAAAAGAAACAAGGCAAATTAAAAGTCCTCACAAATTATGGTGATTAATTCTTCACTGAGGATCATAAAACTTCAATCTAGCAACGAAGCTTATGGAGACTGAGTCTAGGAACCTGGGCTTCTGCATGTCTGATTTTGGAGTGATTCCCCCCTCTGACAGCTACGGAAAGAATGACAGCTATACTTTTGAACTTTTCCTTAGGTGTGCTGGATTCTTAAAAATTTCATTTTTCAGACCTTCATTTCTTCAAGCTTGAAGGTTATGGGTTCCACAGCATGTCCCGGGTCAGGATTAAATGCAGGGGTCCGGGAATATGCCATGCAAGGAATTCCCTATCAGCATCCTTACTCTGGTGGTAGATAAATCTTAAAAGCTTTAAAGTCAAGGTAAACTGATGAAAGTAAAAAATATCCACACAGATATTAGCAAATTGTCCAAAGCAAGTCTCTCTCCTCTAAAATGTCCACTTTCTAATCTTTTCCTCCTTCATTAGTGGGCCTTCTTTAATCAGTGATTACTCAGGGGCACACAGTACAAGCGCAAAGAGTAATCAAGATCGCCTCATTCCTGCATTTAACGTCAACCAGAATATTTTAATGAACGAAGTAGCCCACTAATTTTGCTTCCTCCCCCAGTCCAAAGATCAACTAAACTCCATGGTAAGGTCTGCGGCGGCCCGGAGGTCGGCATGGCGTTCCGAGCGGGCATCGGCCCCGAGTGATCCATCAGTACAGCTGAGGCCTGCCAAGCAGGGTTACTATCAAACAGCACCAGGGCCGGAGGCGGGGCCCGGGCGTGGAGCTAGGACCCGGCGCTGGCCACCCTCCTCGCTGGGCCACCAGGCTCAGCCGCCTCGGGGCCTCGAGCTCCCTCCTTCCTCCCCACTCCCTACCTCCCTCCCGCAGGTCCTCACCAGCAGCGCCTAGAACCGCAAGCAGCGGGGACGTGCGCGCGCCAGGCTGGGACGCCAGGGAAACCTCACCTGGCAGCCCCGACCCAACTGAGGCTGCCGCCAGCGCTCCGCCCGCGCGAATGCCACCGCCTCCGACGCCTCCCGCGTTACGTGACCCTGCGCCGGGTGACGCAGAACCGTGATTCCCAGGCGGCAGCGCGGCCTCACCAGCCGGGCTGAGGTTAACGTGGCGGCCATGTTTGTTGATGGCAACTGGCTTCTCCCACTCCCACCGGAAGATGAGCTTGTAGAGGCACAGCAACCACACCCCAGGAAAGGAGCTGTGGAGGAGTTGGCCCGCTCCACCGCTTTCGTATCGCGCCAACAGCTTCATCCCCAGGGTTCCAGGCAGGCTGATCTCGCGCCCTAGGACTTAATCACAGGTTGGACCTTGCATGGGTGGGAGTTGGTGTATTTTAGTGGAGAAATTCTCCCAGTTGAGTATAACTCCATCCAAGTACACCTACCAAGTGCCAGGCGATGGTTGTCTTAGAAAAATTTTTGGTAGAGGTTACACATCTGGTAAGTGCTGTAGCTGGGATTTCTGACTCCAAGCCAAAGCACTTTCCACTGCACCATCATGGGCTCTCTACAGAAAGTCAAGAGAACAAATGACCAAGTGGTTTCTAAGAGGGTGGGAAATTTACATTAACCTACTAGAGTGCCCAAAGTCATCCAGAAAGGCTAGGGCTTTATTAAAGCAAGGCTAGTTTTAAAAATTAAGAGGATTTAAAGTTAAAATTAATCCTAGGTATGCTTTTAATCAACGTAAGAAACATTCAAACCTGTGAAGAATTTTTGTGAGTGTATTTTGGCCAAATTGTCCACAGTTGCTGGGAAGCAAAATCTCAATGCATTGAGGTAATGCTCCAGAGAATGGCAGTTTTGTACCTTATTTTATATGTTACAATAAAACAGAAAAAGAGTCAAGTGGATTAGGAGAAATTCATTGGTAGTAGATTGGGAAGGTAGGAGAAAGCAAAGCAGGGGAAGACCTCTGGGACTGGATGATGAAAAGTAAAATGATACATCTTTTACATAGGTGGGTACAGGATAGTGACAGTCAATTAACATGATAATAACAAGGAGAGGATTTATGGTGCATTGATTGTGCCTGAGGGGGGGGGTCTGGAAAAGGGGTTGTTACCCTGACATTCCAAAGGAATGTTATCATAGATGCCAAAGACGATAGACACAGTTAAGGTAAAGACCCACTTTTTTCAGGGAAGATTCTAGCCTTAGTACATGACTACCTGCCATGAACTGCTTTTAGTTTAAAAGTTTTGACCATCCTTTATGGTTACTTTAGGTCTCCGGCTTTGCAAAGCTGCCACACAGGCCTTCCCTGAGTTTGTCAGGTTAGCATGTGGCCCCTTTTCAACCACACTTCCTCAAACCTTCAATGACAATAAAGAAGTGAAAAAGATATAAACCCATAAAAACAAAAAGAACCAGATAACTGCACATGACACTTTTGGAAGAAAAAGAGTAATAATAATAATTTGATGTTTCTACATGACAAGCAATATTCTGAGTGCTTTTCAAATAAGTTTAATCTTTTCCTTTTTATTGAATTTATTGGGGTGACACTGGTTAACAAAATTATACAGGTTTCACCTGCACAATTCTACAGCACATCACCAGTACACTGTATTGTGTGTTCACTAGCCCAGATTGTCTCCATCCATCACCCGTTTATCCCCCTCCTCCACGTCCCCCTGATATTATTGTATTGAACCCAGTTATTAACTGGAAATGACCAAAGGGAAGCCCAAATATTATAGAGATTCTCAGTAAAGTCTGGGTGACATAGGGAAGGAACTTGTCTGTCAGTCACACCTGGCAACAGGTCATTGGCCAGAATAGGCATGGCCACTGCAAGGGCCTAAAAATCCGGGATACTTAAGCTCCTAAACACAGGATTTCCCTCTTTTGCTTCTTGAGCCTGACTCCTGGTTTATGGCGCTCTCATGCTCTGCACTAGCCCACATGGTTCACGGACATGTGGACCCCACACACAATGGACTGATGGACTGGAACTAGCCTGGTGCTGTGCCAGCTCCAGCTCCACCATGGAATGGAAAACCTGGACACTGGCTTTGCTTTTAGCTCTGCTGAAACCTCCAGCTGCACCTCTTCCAGGGCTGGTTTAAGGGAGCTGGGACTTTGGAAACTGAGGGATATAATTCCACCCAAATAAAGCTTTCTACCATACCTCATCCTCCCATGGGAGCCTCCAGAAATACTTATTTCCATGGTACCCCAAGAACCCCACTCCCACTAGCAAAGGAGAAGGGCAATCCATACAATACACCAATAACACCCTCATGCTCCACATCCGAGCAGTCACCACACTGTTGTCACTGTGTCCATGAGATGTTTTTTTTTCTTTTTTGCTCAATCCCTTCACCATCCCAGCCACCCTCCCTCCCCAGCTATCAGCCTGTTCTCCATAACTGTCTCTATTTTGTTAGTTCATTTTCTTCATTATATTCCACATGAGAGATATCATATGGTATTTGTCTTTCTCTGACTGGCTTAAAATTTATTCAATCTTCTTAACAACCTAAAAGGTAGACATATTTTACAGTTAAGTCTGCCACAGAGGGGTTACTTGAACCTAAAGTCTCTACAAATGAAGGAGTTAGTGTTACTGGAAAGGGGAGTTGGCCCTGGGCAGAGCTGCCTAGGGCCAGCTGGTAGTGTGTGGGTTCTTGACTTTGTGCAGGAAAAGCTTTACAACATGACTCCAAGTGAATTTTAGTGGATGTTTATTAAAGCTGGGGACAGTGAGACAAGGGAGGACTGGGGAAATGAGCCTAAGCTGGTCTGCTTTGGCTCACTAAGCAGCCAGAAAAAGGGAGTCCAGTACACCAAAAGGTTGCATGTTCGATCCCTAGTCATGGTATGTAGAGGAGCATCCAATCGATGTTTCTGTCTGACATCCATGTATCTCTCTCTCTCTCTCTCTCTCTCTCCCCCTCCCCCTCCCCACCCCCTCTTTCTCTCTAAATCCAATAAAAATATATCCTCAGGTGAAGATTACCGAAAAAATAAAAAAAGGTAAAAAAATAAAATTGTGAGGCTATTATCACCTCCAGGAAAATTATTTAGAAAATATAATCATAGTACACTTACACAGCCATCATAAAAAGCTCTTAAACATTGTCACCTAATTAAATTGAGGCAGAGAGGGTAAGGGTGGTATGAGTTCTAAATTCTCATCTTCCAGAATAAAAAGTTTATATAGTGGCTAAACTTCAGGAACCCAGAAATAACCTATTTTGAAATATGGAGGAGAGTACCTAATGGAATATGTAAAAAAGTTAAAAGTGATGAAACTTGTAGACATGGCCTTTGATGAAGTGTTATCTAATTTTTAAAATATGTTCATGGTGGTATGTATTGCTTGTTCTTTTTATTTTACTTTTTAAATTTTATTTTGTTTAAAATATTACAGATGTCCCTTTCTCCCCAATGACCCGTTCCACCCCGTCCCATCCTCCTCCCCAGTCCCTCTCCCCACCATTATCCGTGTCCTTGGGTTGTGCACATATGCATATAAAATCTTTGGTGACTCTCTCCCCATCCACCCACCCACCCTCCTCCATCCCTCTGACATTTATCAGTCTGTGTATTGCTTGTTCTTTAATAAAGCCCTTGAGAGTCAATGAAGTCTGAATTGAGGAAACCATGTGAGACAATGTGACATTAAGATAGGACCATGGGACTGGGTTTCAGGAAATTACATTTCTAAACCAAGGGAGCTACTAACTCATAAGTTCTTGGGCAATTCATTAAATATCCCAAGATTGTGTTTCTTTACAAAGGCTCAGAGAACTTGCCTCCAAGTGCAAGGAGACTCCTGATAAAGATGTGAGGTTAAGGACTAAGATGTGGCAACTTGGGTCCAAGAACATAATTTTGAACACCATTATCACTTAAGCAGTGCCCAAAGAGTACTCAATAATTGTAAAGATCAATATTAGTTTTCTTCCTTATTACAACTTTTGAGAATTTAAAAAATTTCTATGTCTCATTGCTAATAATTGTTTTGCAACTTTAAATTCATGGCTCAGTAAGGAACTGGAAAAGAGAAAAGAAAGTGCAAGTGAAGATAAATTTTTTAAGATACAAACTGAACCAAAAATAGAGAGAGGCTATGAACATTAGGAGCATTATGATACTTAAATAAAAGAAGCTAGAATCAGATTCCAACATGGCTGCAGAGTAGCTGGAAGCCCCACCTACTTGTTTCCAACACCAACCCCGGCTTGTGGTTAAACCGCAGAGCAATTGGCTTGAAAAAGCAGGTGAAGTGTAGCTGATCTGAAATATTGAGAGCAGGGAACATGGAGGAAGGACAGGAGGAGATGCGGGGAGTGTAAACCAAGTAGCGTTGGTGCTGGCTGGAAAGCTGGAGGGATTTTAGGGGCAGCAGAGCCCCTACCCCCTGGGAGCACAGGGTTTGAGCTCCAAGCAAGTATCCCCAATCCAGAGCAACAGAGAAGGGAAGAGGAACTTGCGAAGCAGCGGGTGGTGGGAACCAGTGGGGATTTGGTCAACTGGGGAGACACAGACTGCACCATCCCAGGCAAAGAATGATTTCTTCCTTCGAACACCAGCCTGGGAAGTTAGTTCTAATCTGTGTCTGTAAGAGGGGCCCCTGGGGCAAACCTCCCAGCCTGCAAAGGGATCTGATTGGTAAACTCAGCACTGACTCTGAGGGGCCCCTTATTCTATGGAAGAATTTTGGGCAGAGCCAGTTGGAGTCTGACACTGTGGCTTGGGAAAGAGGTCTTGCACACCTTGAGCGCAAATACACTGCTCCTCCTACCTGTGGAACTACTTGGTCAGCCCCATCTGCTGAAACCCAAGGCAAATGGGAATGGCAGGTGTGGCATCGTACAGGATTCGGACATTTGGCCCACATGGAGCCTGGGCAGAGGCCCGGCCCAGCCCAGCAGGGGCCAATTGCACAGAGAGACTGGAGTGCCAAGTGGGGCTGATTTTATTTTATTTTATATCCCCTCCTATTTGGCGTGGCAGTGAGGTGATGCCATGGAGCCAGGCAGAGCTGAAGCATTGCAATCTCCTAGATAAGCTTCTGTCCAGAAGACAGTCAGGTGTCTGCTGGGCCCTTTGGCTGCATTACCAGGAAGCAGAGCTGAGCTCCCGAATGAGTTTAGCTAGCACAGCCATGGGAAGGAAAGGAAGTGCCCACTGCCCCTCCTATAGGTTACCAGCACCCCTCCCCCCCAACTGGAGTCTGTTTAAACCACACCTGTCAGGTCCCGGTTAGCCCCTGACAGTTCCCTGGGGAAAGGGAGCTCAGCTCAGGGCAGGGATATTCAAAGAGCAAGACCAGAGGCAGACCCAGCCACTGGGCTTAGAAGGCCCCACTCCCAGGACTACTTGGGGCACTGCCTGCCAAGCTTGTCAGGTTGACTGATGAACCTTTAACCAGACTCATCAAGAAATAGAGAGAGGCCCGGCCGCGTGTGGCTCAGCGGCTGAGCATCTTCCGAGGATCCAGGCGATTGGGGTTCAATTCCCAATCAGGGCACATACCTGGATTGTGGGCTAGATCCCCAGTCAGGGGTGTGCAGGAGGCAGCCGATCAATGACTCTCTTATCACTGATGTTTCTATCTCTCTATCTCTCTCTCTCTCCCTCTCCTTTCCTCTCTCTGAAATCAGTGAAGATATATTTAAAAAAAAAAAAAAAGAGGCTCCAAATTTAAAAAAATCAGAAATGAAAGAGGTAAAGTAACAACTAACATCACAGAAATACAAAGGATTGTAAGAAAATACTTTCCAACAAATTGGACAACTTGGGCAAAATGGACAAATTCCTAGAAACATACAATCATCTAAAACTGAAAGAGGAAGAATCAGAAAACCTGAATAGGGTGATAACCACTGATGAAATTGAAGCAGTAATAAAAAAAAATCCCAGCAAACAAAAGCCCTGACCAGGAAAGCTTCACAGGAGAGTTTACCAAACATTCAAAGAACTAATACCTATCCTCCTCAAACTATTCCAAGAAATTTAAGTGGAAGGAATACTTCCAAGCTCTTTTTATGAGGCCAGCATTGTCCTAATCACAAAACCGTATAATGACATGACAAAGAAAGAAATACAGGCCAATATCCCTGATGAACATAGATGATAAAATCCTCAACAAAATACTAGCAAATCGGATCCAGCAATATATTAAAAATATCTTACACCAAGATGAAGTCTTCAAGATTTATACCAGGGATACAATACTGGTACAATATTCACAAATCAATAAATGTGATACATCACATAAACAAATTGAAAGACAAAAATCTCATGAGCATATCAATAGACACAGAAAAAGCATTTGACAAAATCTAGCACCCATCTAAAAAAAATACACACACACACATATAGCTACTGATTTGAGAGAGGAAGTGAGAGGAAGAGAAAGATAGAAACATCAATGATGAGAGTCGGCTGCCTGCTGCACGCCCCACACTGGGGATTGAGCCTGCAACCCGGGCATGTGCCTTGATCGGGAATCGAACCGCAATCCCCTGGATCCTAGGTCGATGCTCAACCACTGAGCCATGGCCAGCAGGGGCCTGCACCTACTTTTGATGAAAACAATGAGTTACTTGAGAATAGAGGGATCATACCTCAGCATAATAAAGGCAATTTATGACAAACCTACAGGAAACATCATACTCAATGGGCAAAACTAAAAGTGTTTCCCTAAAGATCAGGAACAAGACAGGGATGTATGCTTTCACCACTCTTATTCAACACAGCACTGGAAGTCCTAGCCAGAGAGATCAAACAAGAAAAAATAAAAGCATCCAAATTGGAAAGAAGTAAAACTATTATTATACGCAAATGACATGATACTGTACACAGAAAATTTTGAAGTCTCCACCAAAAAACTGCTAATAAATGAATTCACAAACTAGCACGATACAAAATTGACATACAGAAGTTGATGGTGTTTTTATAAACCAATAATGAACTCTCAGAAAGAGAACCTAAAAAAAACAATCCCACAGACCACTGCAAAAAAAAAAAAAAAAAAATCAAAAAAAAAATTAAGGTACCTAGGAATAAACTTAACCAAGGAGGCAAAAGACCTGTACTCAAAAAACTAGGATATTGAAAAAAGAAATAGAGGAAGATACGAACAAGTGGAAGCATATACCATGTTCATGGATTAGAAGAATTATCATTAAAATGTCCATACTACCCAAAGCAATCTAGAGATTCAGTGCAATTCCTATTAAAATACCAACAGCATACTTCACATATCTACAACAGATATTCCAAATATTTATATGGCACCAAAAAGACCCCAAATACCTTTGGTAATCTTGAGAAAGAAGAGCAAAGTTGGAGGGATCACAAATAGATATCAAACTATACTACAAAGCCACTGTAATTTAAACAACATGGTACTGGCACAAGAACAGGCATACAGAACAATGGAACAAAACAGAGAACCCAGAAATCAACCCAAGCCATTACGCTCAATTAATATTTGACAAAGGAGGGAAGAGCATACAATGGAGTAAAGACAATGGTGTTGGGAAAATTGGACAGATACATGCAACGAAATGAAACTAGACAACCAACTTTTATACCATACACAAGAATAAACTCAAAATGGATAAAAGACTTAAATGCAAGTCACGAAACCATAAAAATCCTGGAAGAAAACATAAGCAGTAAAGTCCCAGGCATTTCACATAGCAGTATTTTCACCAATACTTCTCCTAGGGCAAGGGAAACAAAGGAAAAAATGAGACTACATCTAACTAAAAAGCTTCTGCACAGCAAAAGACACCATCAATGAAATGAAAAGGGAACCCAATGAATAGGAGAATGTATTTGCCAGTGATACATCTGATAAGGGTTTTTCTTCTCTTTACTGATTTCAGAGAGAGGAAAGGAGAGGGAGAGAGAGATAGAAAGATCAATGATGAGGGAGTCATTGATTGGCTGCCTCCTGCACACCCCCGACTGGGGATCGAGCCCGCAACCTGGGCACGTGCCCCGACTGGGAATCTAACCCCGATCGCTTGGATCCTAGGTGGACACTCAACCGCTGAGCTACTCCCGGCCCGGCAATCTGATAAGGGTTTAATTCTAAAAATATATACAGAATCTACATGACACACCATGAAGACAAACAATCCAATTAAAAAATGGGCAAAGGATCTGAATAGACACTTTTCAAAACAGTATAGACAGATGGAAAATAGACACATTAAAAAGTGCCCAACATTACTAACCATCAGAGACACAAATTAAAACTATACTGAGATATTGCCTGGCCGGTGTGGCTCACGGTTGAGCATTGACCTATGATCCAGGAGACTGAGGTTCAATTCTCTCTCCAGATACATGCGCGGGTTGCAGGCTTGATCCCTGGAGGTACAGGAGGCAGCAAATCAATGACTTTCTCTCATCATTGATGTTTCTCTCTCTCTTTCTCCCTTCCTCTCTCTGAAATCAATAAAAAGTATATTTAAAAAAACCCAAACACTACACTGAGGTATCACCTCACACCTGCCAGAATAGGTACCATCAATAAATCAAGTGCTGACGAGGATGTGGAGAAAAGGGAACCCTAGTACACTGCTGGTGGGAATGCAGACTGGTTTAGCTACTGTGTAAAACAGTATGGAATTTCCTCAAAAAATTAAAAATGGAACTGCCTTTTGACCCAGTGATCCCACTTTTAGGAATATATCCAAAGTATTCTGAAACACCAATCAGAAAGAATCCTTGCACCCCTATGTTCATAGCAGCATTATTTCCAATAGTTAAGATCTAGAAACAGCCCAAGTGTTCATCAGTAGATGAGTGGATAAAAAAGCTGTGGTATATTCACAAAAAGCCATGATATATTTACACCATGGAACACCATGGGGCTGTAAAAAAAGGATCTAGCATAGATCCTATGAGACAGCATAGATGGACCTGGAGATCATGTTAAGTAAAATAAGCCAGCCAGAGAAAGACAAATATCACATGATCTCACCCATGTGGAATCTAATGAAAATAAACTGATGAACAAAGTAGGTCCAGATATGCATGCATGGAACAGACTAACAGATCCCAGAGGGGAGGGGGTTGCAGGGGACAAGAAGAGATTAACCAAAGAACACTCCTCTGGTTTTGTAATACTGGACATCAGAGAGCAAATTCAAAGGCAGCTAAAACTTAAGAGTACTTAACCAAATCATTATCCTTGCCAGGCCTTTCATTTGCATTACCAAATTAAGTTTCAGAAAACCCTCTGAGATAATTACCTTGTGCTGTCACCTAGGCAGTAAGTAGGAAAGGTGAGACCTGATTAAAAACCATTCCTTTTTATCACTACCTTCTCTTTCCTGTGTGCTGGATTCACAATATACCAAGAGCCCACTAGGAAAGATTAGATGAGGCCTTCAAGACAAACATCTTGAAATAAGTTCGCATGTATCATAATAATGCTTCTGCCACATGTGAGATAGGAGTGTTATAGTCATGGTGGGTATAACGGAATCCTGACCAAAATTCTCTGAGACTCTTTTCCCCTAAAGTTGGCTAAATTTTAATCAAAATATTTTTAGCTACATTTAAATCATGGAAATGCCTACTATCTGTTGGTAAGAATAATGACACTCATAAACTCTCCTACGTTCTGTGAGCCAGACTAATGATGTGATTTCTCTTATCCTAAGATGCTTTTAAAAAGACAAAGAAAACAATACTATGCCTTCACATACTATGAAAACGGAGTTTAGATACTCTATCATCTGCTTGCTTGTATGGGCCTTAATTTGAAGTAAAGGGTCTGATTACTCTGAGATTACATGAATGAGGGAGTCTGAAACCATAGTTTTGATGCTTAAGTATCAGTATTTTATTTCCAGCACTCATGTTCATCCTTGAGTTAAAAAAGTCTAGTAGAACTAAGGACATCTTTTACAATACATTTACCTACTTGTGGTAGAGAAACCAACAAAAACCAGCACATAACTTCTTACTTACTTACATAATATATATCCTGTAGGAGACTATTTGGCTTAAGCACTCTCCTAAGCTCCAGTGCTATTTCACAGAACATCCTAGGATTTCATTGACCCACATCTAATGGTGCCTAAGAAACATCTATGCTTCCTATCTTGTCTCATGAATACACAGAACATCTGCAGATTCTCTCAGCTCTAAAAATGTTTACCAAAATCAGCATTTTGCTTTACTGAAGGATAGACAAAATCTAGTAGTAAAGAGGGTAATAAGATTTGACTTAACCAAAATTACATGAAGACTAAAGAGTGACTTTACCATTCTGTTTTGCAATGTAGTTTCCAGAAATCAACTGTGATAAAAAGCAGAAAACAACTATTTTAAAATTTTACTAACTCCTGAAAAGCTGGAAGTTGGATTAACAGTGTATGATTTATAAGTATCATTTTAAAAACATCGGTCCATTAAATCATGTAGAAATAAGTATGCAAAAAGTTTGCAAAATGAAACATATTTTAAACATGTTTAAGTATAGAGATTATCTGAAATTCCAGATTTTTCAGTCACTTCATTATGCTATGGCAGCCAAGTAATCCTTAACTTCAGTTGGAGTAAGCCTCCTAAATCCAGCTTCATTGCAGATTCCAACTTCTATGTTATCTTCTGTCATTTGCCCTTCAAAGCTTTCCTATGGATGAGGCAGGAAAAAAGGTCAATTTTCCAAACAGTTAATTATAAAATCATTATAAATCCAACTGTTAGATATTGAACTAACCTTTAGGGTTAATATGGCTGTATGAATGGCATCTTCAAGTTCTAGATCTTCATTATATCTAAAGAGTTTTTGAGAAAAAAAAAAGTGTGGCATTATTTGTATTATTTATAATTATTTAAAACAAGGGTAACAACAGCTTAAGACTTAAAAAAAAAAATTAAAACACTCTTAAAAATACTAAGATTAATTTTTTAGTCACCTCACTGAGATAGCTGTCCACAAATAAAAAACTGACAATAATTAGAGTGCATTCCCAATATCATGAAGAATATCATCTCAACATGAGTTTATTTTAGGAAACTTCTTTAAGTATAAATAGCTGAATATAATCAAAATGTGGTGGCAATATTATAATAATTTTCAAAAATAAAGCAGAAAAAACACTTTTGCTAAAATTTGTTGTTTGTTCTTATAAGTTGTAACTCCATGTGAGATGTTTTGAAGACTCATTAATAATTGGTAAAAGAAAAAGGAAAGTGATTTAAGATCCTAAAATTAATACCAGGTGTTAGCCATCTTAGCATTAATAGTATGTGGAAATGTACCAAGAAGTCAACTACAAACTTTTCCCATTCAAAATGTAGGTCATTTTTTGGTGGACTACAATAACGCTGAGGCAAGAATACAGCTGAAAATAAGTGAAAGCAATTTATTGTGTTAGGGCAGTGACAGCAGATTTTTACATAGTGCTCCACTTTTTATCAAGTTATATCCTATATTTACCATCAGTACCAGGTATTTGGCTTTGCAATTTATTTTCGTAATTGTCATAATGTAAAATGTTATCACTCAAATCATTTAAAAAGTTTTCTCCAAATCCAATTATCTTTTTTTTTTTTGATAGAAAGAGAAGTTCTTAAGAAATTAATAATATTACCACTTAATATATTGAAAAATGGGGAGCCAAGGAATTTTTTATCAGAATAATACAACAAATATGTTTGGACTCAGGATATTAATTCTTTAAAGAGAGCTGAAAGCCATAAAGTAAGTTTGCTAACAAGTCCAGTTATGGTGTGCCTACCTTTTCTCAAGAAAAGTTTTTCCATTCACATAGTTCTTTCCCATTGCTGTCGCTTTCCAGGCAAAGTAAGCTCCCTAATCAGGAAGTCAAGAGGAAAACCCATATTTTAAATCATTAATCTAATTATATTGCCCTAACATTTATTTTTTAGCTCTATAATTTGTCTCTAACTTCTAAGGTCAAAAAGTAGGTTATTCTTTTAAAAAAGGTTACAGGGATAAATAACAAAAAGGCATGAAGAAAGTTTTAGAAATTATGAAGTTCAGTATCTTGATCGTGATGATGGTTTTCTCAAGTATTTACATACATCAAAACTCATCAAATTATACCCTTTAAAAATGTGCAATTTACATAAAAAAAGCCAGTTAAAGGAAACTGAGGTTAACTTACAGCAAACAATTAAGAGTAATATTTTAGCTTACTAGTATTGAAGGGCTCTACAAAACTGTCATATGTATCTGAAAAATGGTGCTCAATTCTTTATCATTGAATAAATTAATTAAAGCAGCAGCAATGTCATGACTTCACATGTTGAAAAAATACACATGCATGCATACACACACAAAAATACCAAACATATTTTAAAAGAAACAACTGCCTTTTAGATAAAATGGATGAAAAAGGGCAAGGTAAAATCTAAATTCTAGTGATGGTGGCTTCTCCCACCCACTGGAAAGCTTGTTATCTAGCTTCAGAAACTCAGAGATGTGATTATAAGATTTAAAATAACAAAATTTTTTTTTTGCCTTTTCAGATTACAAGGTTAGATCTTAAGACTGGAATTAAGTGAACCTATAAATATCTAATGATCCATAAAATATGAAAGATCAGTTCCTAATCAATTTTTTCTTCCAGTTCTCCTCACAGCAAATGAGACAGATGTAGAGTAGCAGCATCCTTTATGAATACCTTTTAACTCAGAGACCAATCCTCTGCTTTGGAGTAAACAAGACACCCATTTTGCAAAACAAAAGACAGCTACCTCAATGTCTGCACAGGATTAGTCACACTACTCAAGTCAGCCCTAAGATTAAACAGGTGGCAGAGTACAACACTGTCCTCTAGACCCATATATGTCACTACAATATTTCTCAAAGTAACAGAATTCCAGAGACTTAAAAAAAAGATTTGATAACTACTTCAACAAACCACTCAATTATGTGAAGTTAATGAACAAGAGAGAACAGAGAGGGCATAACTAATGTAGCTTCTTCATTGAAAGACTGAATTATCAACACTTCAAATGTGCAAATAAATATGTACTATTTCATACTTTCTAAAGCCCAAATGAGAAAAATATATATTGTTAATTTCAAAATTTTTGTTATTGTTTTTATTAGCTGTTAAAGGAGTACTTTAACAAATACCTCATATACATCTATGATACTTACTGATGGATCTGACTGAAATAAATATGGTCGTCCCTCATTCCAACCACAAATTAGTAAAGAAACTCCAAATGGACGAACACCACTGAAGAAAGAAAAATGAAAATTACTTGGTTAAAGTCAACGTGAGTAAGAATTTATTAATTCTCAAATAAAGCAAATTATCAGGTAAACCAAATTAGACGTGCAAGTTCCTTAAGAAGTACTTAATACCTCTATCCGAACAAATTAAATCTAAATGAATTCTCTGTGGTACCAAGGAATAGTAGTTATATCATTTTGGTAAATGGAGTGACACAAATATTGGTTTTAATAAGTGTGTAGTGACATTTAGTGCCTAACAAAATGACAACCTTCAGCAATGCAGTTTTTCCACTGGCTTTCCACATCAGCAACTACCTTTACACTACCTCATCCATGTTCACACCCAAACTTAAGAGAATTAAAAAGAGTTACTGCTTTCATGGTGTGCTTATGATTACTTCTGACTGGGATGATAAACTTGGAAGCAGCAGGGTTGTTTGCCTATAAAAAGTGTTTCAGTAACTGGAAAATAACTTTATTTAGAAGCTACTTTCTGTTGCTTTCTCCTATTATATGAACAGCAAGTAAACATTCAAATTTTTTCCTTAAGAAAATATTCTAGTTCCAGCTGAGAAATTATTCATCATAGTGATTTTCTCTACTTGTTAAGCAAATACAGGAATTAGTCCTCTCTTTAATATAGCTACTCTTCTAAAATGATTTCTTTTTCTAATTTATGACACATTTCAAATAATAAAATCAACTTACCCTGACTGGGTATATTCTTGCATCACAGAAGCTACTCTCTGTACCAGCTGAGCTGTGGGAATGGGTTCTTGGTAAACAAGATAATATTGCTGAGCTAGTTTTCGAGCTCTGTGCACAAGTACTCTACCAAACAAAGAAGAAATAAAGTTTAATTAAAATTAAGACACTCTAAAGACCCACTCTCCTTCTAACAGGATCTAGCTACAGCACAAGTTTTACATATACCTCTTTAATAGTAACTATCTGCTCAAAGCCAGTCTTGCTCTTACATGATTCCCGTAATTTACAAGAAAACATCACAGCATCAAAGAGATGAGCCACAGGAAGTGAATAGGGACAATGCAAAAAGAAAACAAACAAACAAAAAATAGAGACTAGCAGTACCAATCAGCTTAATAATAACAGATTTAGTATACACAATGAGAGCTTTCTCTCCCTCCATGGTTTCAAGATTGTGCACCTTATCCCAAAGGCAGTCACCCTGTTGTTTTATATCTCAATCCAGCACACACACCTGCACACGTGAACACAAAATTTCAAGTATTTTTTTCCCACTATGCCTCAATCTTTTCCACAGACTACACTTCAAAGAATCCCTTTCAGAGATTAAAGGACACCAAAAAGCACTTATAACTTAAATGTAAAATTTATCAAAAGAATATACTGTATAACAATCAAACATATAACAAGACAAATAGGATGGGCCTTTGATCTGAAGCATACACATTATCCCCCTGTACAATAAAAACTAAGGTCCTGTTCCCTCTGTTTATTCCATCAGTAGTAGCACACTGAGGAATCCCTTCTATATACCAGTAACAGGATCCACTGTAGTGAAGTCTGATCACATTCCAGAAACACTGTTGCTTTTAAACTTATTAAAGTGAAATTCTGGCTCTACCTATGTTCCAACAAAATCAAGAATGAAGTCATATTTCTTATACTGTTAAATGAAAGAAAGCTATCAATCTCTTTCAACTTGCTGGTGCCCTGATGTAACAGGATTACTCTCTCTCCTCCTGTGAAATATAAAGGAGTGAACAGATGAGCACCTGGATCCTGAATGGCTGCCATATTTAGCAACTTTCAGTGGCCTTTGAGAATTTTGTCCCTTTACTAAAAACAGAAATAAATAAAATGAGGTTAACTCTAGATGGTGATGCTTTCTTCTGCTGCCTGATGACTTATTATACCTATTATTGCTTTTATTGTTTTTAAAATGCATTAGAAAACAGCAAAGCTGCCCGGCCGGGTGTGGCTCAACAACTGAGCATTGACCTAGGATCCAGGAGATCGCTGTTCAATTCCTGGTCAGGGCACATGCCCGGGTTGCAGGCTCAATCCCCAGTCGGGGGCGTGCAGAAGGCAGCCGATCAATGACTCTCTGACTCTCTCATCATTGATGTTTCTCTCTCTCTCTCTCTCTCTCTCCTTCTTCCTTCCTCTCTCTGAAATCAATAAAGACATATTAAAAAAAAGAAAGAAAATAGCAAAGCCCTTGAAGCCCAGCCCTTGGATGGTAGAAGAGGGACTGTGATATCAGAAGGGGGAAACCACTAAATAGAGGTAAGAGGAGTAAGTACTGTATCTATCTCTTCTTTTACAACTAACTTGCACTGAGCATCTTCATAAAGTAATCCTTAGTTTTTCACTACAGGCAAACTAAATTCATCTGCCAGAGATGCTACTGTTGCTACACAAAACAGAAAAAAAGGCAGGATAAACATTCCTTGACTTTTTTTTCCCCTCCGCAAATATAGATTATGACCAAGTCATGAGATGGTGAGAAAATTAATAAATAGTATAACGTACCTGTAATCTGGGCCCATGCCACTATACACCAAGCCTATATGTTTGGTAATTGGTTCCACTTTGTGCACACTTCTCTCATCATACAGAATGGATTTCTGTTTCTTCTCCGTTGCTAATACCACACCATTTGCAGCTTTAAAAAAACAATCAAAAAACACCTAAATGTTTAATCATTTAAAGACTGCTTCAACATTTTTCAAATCATAGCTACATTTTACCCACATCCTCTTACTTATAAAACTTTTTCTTCTAGATTTCTATATTAAAATCACCTGGTCATCTATATACACTAAGAAATCCCTAAGCTAACAGCGTTACACAACTTTCTTAAAGTATTCCAGGACACCTAAGAGTCCACATGTTTTTGTTGTTTGTTTTTTTTAAATCGTTTTCTTTTATTTATTTGTTTTTTTAATCCTCACCTGAGGATGTTTTTTCCATTGCTTTTCAGAGAGAGAGTGGAAGGGAGAGAGAAAAACATCAATGTGAGAGAGAGACATCAATTGGTTGCCTCCTGCACCTGCACCAACCCCAAGAGGGGCCAGGGATCAAACCTGCAACTGAAGTATGTGCCCTTTGCCAGAATCGAACCCAGGACCCTTCAGTCTGCAGGCAGATGCTCTAACCACTGAGCAAAACCAGCTAGGACCACGTTTTAAAATAATAGAATTTTGCCTACTTGGCCTACTGTTCTTATAATCTGAAATTTAAAATCAATGTCAGAGACTTTTTTTTAAAGGGTATCTTTATATTAAGTTTTATAAATAACCTTTTCTAAATTATAGGAAGGATAAAAAGTGCCAGAGAATAGTGATATATACAATCAATGGAAAAATAAAAGAATACTCAGTTATCTGAATGGGAAAGACTATAGATTAACACAACTAATTACATAAAGATGCTATATTTATTTTGGAAAAAATTTAATCACCTTGTTAGGCTTACTACTTTCTTTAAACTTCAGATACTATAAATTAACAAAAAGAACTATTACAAGTTATGTTGCCACAGCTATTTATTTATAAATTAATAAATACCTTGCTGACCAGTCACGAGTATACATGTGTTTCCGTGTTCAAATGTTGACCAGTCATGTCCGCACTTAATCTAAGTAATTTTAAACACCTTGCTGACTGGTCACAATGGAAAAGTAGTCAGCTGCAAAGGGTGAATTCTGGCTAGAAATACCTGGTCAGCATTATTAATTACTAATTAATTCCATAAGAACATTAGGATAACTATTAACAGGCACCTGAAATTAATAAGTATTTAATTACCTTTAATTCCCACTGAAGGGGCTCCTCCAGCTACAGCAGCCAAAGCATATTCAATCTGGACAAGTTTACCAGATGGGCTTAAAAAGAAACAAATATATTTATTAAATTCACACATGCCCAAATATTTATTATAGGAACATCTCCAAATCCATTAATCAAAAACCAAGAAATAGTTAGACTATGAAATTTTATCATGAAGTTGTACAGAAACTAAAGTTTACCAGGTGATTTGAACACATTCATAGTGAAGTACTAATTCCTTTCCTTTGGTTTTCTTCTTGTCTACCACTTAAAGAAGTATCGTTACTATTGCCTTTCGATGCTTACCTCAGCCTTGTGATTTTGGGCAAGTTATTAAAACTCTCTGTCTTAGTTTTCTAATCTGTAAAATGGAGATAATAGTACTGTAGTAGCTATCTATTTCAAAGGTTGTGAAAATTAAATGAAGTGATGCCTTTTGTTTCCGGCACAAAATTAGCAATAAGTAAACACCAAAATAGTAATGTTATTAAGAACATGAATGTCTGTTTAATACCAAACAGCAGCATATATTTCATGTGGGTGGATTTATATATACAATTAGAAAGTAGAATGGCCTAAGACGTAAGACCTAGATATCAGTCACAACAAAGTTCTTCCTATATATTAGAAAACTATTTCTAGAAGTCATGAGCTGATTATATCTAACACATTTAGTTCTATGGGTTTGGTAGCGAAATACTAGCCTCCAAATGGTTTTTTAGGTGATACTTTATTTCAATCTAGTTGTTGAAGTAGAATAATCATAAACATCACAGATCAACCTTCTTATTTTAAAGTCCTTGAGTGAAAGTAATTTGTCCAGAGTAACATAGTTAGGTACATAGCTTCAGTCTACTACTGAAAAGATATCTTGAATTTCAAAAAGCCATCTCTTTTATCTTCATAAAATTATGGATACTCTGTCACTCAAATTTCAACTCTTACCACCTCACCTTGCTCCAGACATACAGACTACTCTATTTCAAAAACTCCTTTGACAAGCTAATAATCCCTGTTTGGAATGCACTTCACCATCACCTGGTGAACTCTTTCCTGGTCACCCTTAATCCTCTGTAGAAATGTCCTATTCTGGGGAAGCTGTCCTGACCACCCCAAACTAGGTTGTATCACATACTCTCAAGCCTATGGTGTCCTGTACTTTCTCTTTGGCTAAGATTTGTCATACCTGAATTATTTTTTACAATATTTGTCTTCCTCAACAAAGTGTAAGCTCTGTTCAATCAGTATTCCAACACATAACCTACTACCAGAAGTCCATAATCATTTGGCTGACAGAGATACATCTAGACCTACCTAAGAAATAAGTCTAGGGGTGGTAATTTAAAGACTCTTAAATGAAAACTTTAGCTGACTTGAGCAGAATAATATGAACAGGCATTTAAATTTAAAAAATTAGGCTGTTTTCCTTTAATGGTCATTATTTCAATGATACATTATGGTATTTTGTGTACATTCCATCCAGCTTTCAATTATTGTTTAATGCCTAGTTCAAATACCTCTGGGGAACATGTTAAAGGCTCAAGTAAACTTAGTTACATTTTCTCTGTACCTGTATACACATTTATCATTGCATCTTTTTGTATGAAAACTCACTAATCTGTGAGCTCACTGATCATTTTCTATATTCGACCACACCTCTACCCCATTCCAAAGCACCAACATCCCTACCTGGGATAACTGAAATAGCCCTTCTAACTAGTTTTCCTCTCTTCCATCCTTATTTCCATACTCCCAGCCAGAATTACCTTTGTACCATGTCACTGCTCACTTAAATTCTACAGTAACTTCTTGATTCACTTAAAAAACTACTTACTCTAGCCCTATAAAATTAGACCTGACCCATGCTAACTCTTTCCTCACTATACTCTAGCACATTTGCCTTATATCAATTCCTTTAAGAGTTCAAACTCTTTTTAACTTTGGGACTTTCACACATGCCCTTCCTTCTGTCTGCAACTCTCTCTACCCCTAAATCTTTAAACTGTTGGATCCTTTTCATCTTCCAATCTCAAAAATCACCCCCAAGCACGGGCCTTTCCTGACTCTGACTACCCAATCTAAAGTTATGTTCCTTCTTGACTGAAGATTCGGGAGGGGGGCGAGGGGGTATGAACTAAAGAACTTACATGCATAACCCATGGACACAGACAGTAATTCGGTAGGCTTGGGTGTGGGGGCAGGGTGGAGGGGGTCAAAGGGGTAGAAAAAGGGGACATCTGTAATACTTTCAACAGTAAAGATTAAAATAAAAAAATATAAAATAAAATAATAAAATAAAAGTATGTTCATTCTTTAACCCTCTTTTTGTAAAAATTCCCAAGTAAGGGAAAAACATTTTTCAGAATGCAATTATAAGCACCGATTTTTTACTCATTCACTGTCAATATTCTCAACTGCATGTAATACACAAGAATACCTTCTCAACCTATAGCAGTCTCTTGTCATTTCCACCATTAATAGTTTAATTCTCATTACAACAGGCTAGAAACAAATGTTTTTGAAAATGTAAAACAGAGTGGAACAATCATGGTAAGACAAAGCAAGAGTTTATTTTAATAAATTTATTATAAGAAGATTCAGTTCCTCATGATATGATTGTTTTATGTTTCAGCTCCACTAAGATCATAACTTCTTAAATACAAAGGACCAGGTTTGCTCTGTTCATACATATGAACATAACAGTGACTACTTGGCAAATACTGTTCTCATTGTATATGATCAGACACTTTATTACATAATTAATTCCATTTAAAGGTTTAAAATCTGCATACCCTCATTTAACTACTGAAAACTGTCAAGAGCAAGTAAGGTATTTTCGTTTTTTAAGAAAACATCATATGGTAATGAAATGTATTAATTTTGTCATCAGAAAGAGTCCAGTTTGAATGTTAGCTCAAGTTATCTTATTTGTCCTAGCTTTGGTTAGCTCATCTCTAATATGCTGAGAAAATACCTGCCACACATGGTAGTGAAAATACATGAGATAGGTTAAGTTACACCCACACATAAAATACTCAAGTTATCCCATCTGCCTTCGGCCGTCAGCTAGGGAAACATTTTAATTAAATGGCGTCTTACTTATCCATAACAAAATGGTCAAACTGAACCCTTACCCGTCGGTTTATTAAGTCTTCGGTGATGGCTTTCTTACGTTGGGAACGATGTTTTGAAAAATATAATTATTTTAACCCCTCGTACTAACAGAGAAAAGCGTAAAATCCTTTTAAAAGGAAACATATCGCCCTCCAAAAAAAAAAAAAAAATGGCCAAAACGCAAATGTAGCTTCGTAGTTTGGGATCCACAAACACTATGTGATAGCTTAGCGCTTTCATTTTTAGTCCCTAAGCTTCAAATAAGGGCATCGAAGAAACTTAAAGTTGCAGATTTTTAAAGACACCAGTACCAAAAGGAGACTAAGACGTAGGTGAAACGGTAACGTGAGGCCTTCTGAGATTTGACCAACATTCCGAGTTCCAGAAGCTCCGGAGTCAGGCCTACGTGGGTCACAGGAAATCCTGAGTTCTGAACGGGACACCCAGACATAGCTCAGCCAAAGCTGCCTTCTTCTCTAGTCTCCACAGCTAAAGTCTCCCTGGCTGAGGGCCGTACCCTCCTACAGCCCCAGGGTGGCCCGGGATCCCTCCCACCTGAGTTCCTGTGGACTCCCGGGACCCCTGCTCCCCCGGCCGCAGGCGGGCCCAACAAATGACTTTGCAAAGTTGCATTCCCACCCCCCCATTCCTTACTGGGCCCTCCAATACCACCAAGCCAGAGACCAATACGGAAAAAAAACCGGCGGGCGAAGATCCCGCAACCTCAGTTACGCGGAGAATCTCCGTACCTGAACGTAGTCAACGAAAAGCTGTAACCGCGTTCCGCCATCTTACCCGGAGAGGCAATGCACGGCCACACACCTGCGCACAACGACGGGCTTCTTTCATTTCCCTTTCCGCTCCTTCTTTTCTCTCCGTCTGCTCCAGCGGCATGCTGGGCGTTGTAGTTCCAGAAGCCGGGTTTGCCCGGCTCGGTGTCTGTGCGCATGCTCGGGATAGGGGCGGGACTCGCCAGCCATATCGAAGACTTGGGCCTGCGGGGAAGATGTTGGTAGCCATGCCGGTGCTGGTGGTTCTTCAGCGGCCTACAGCCCGGGGACTCCTAAGGAACTGTTGGGCGCGACTGCAGCAGAAACTTCAGAAGAGCTGGTCAGGCTTTCCCAGCCCTCCGTGGGGTACGTAAAGAAGGCCACTGTAGGGAAGAGGTGGATGAGAGAACCCCAGGCAGCATGATGGGTACAGTTCATACTCTGCCCTTCTCCCGCGTTGGGATCCGCGATAGGGGACGTTTTCAGGGACGCTTACTTAGGAACAAGAGACAGCTGTTTTTTTTGTACTCCCTCTCCACAAAAAAAAAAAAAAAAAAAAAAAAAAAAAAAAAAAAAAAAAAAAAAAAAAAAAAAAA